ACAACAGTCATTTCTGCAGTTTTTGAGGAGGTCACCTCCTAATAAATGTCCTTACAGAAAATCTAACTGCTCATTTTAAATCAATACTTTGACTTTTAATACTKAAGTACAACAAATATCAGATACTTTAAGACTTTTACTCAAGTAATATTCYTAAMGGMGACTTTAAYKTTTACWAAAGTCATTTTTTGGTARGATACTTGTACTTTTACTCAAGTATCACTTTGTGGTACTTTATACAACACTGGTTAAAGCGTCAAAACAGCTTCTTTTCAATCAATCAACACTGACAGCAGCGATCACACCAGCTCCGTTCCTAAATAACTTTGTGTTTTTAAACAATCCACATCACATCACCTGAGTTCACAGGTCACACAAACAGCACGAGCACAGCCGGCCCACAGAAACCAGTCATCCACATCAGATCTAACTTGGAGTGTTTTGCATGCAGTCCAGAAAACATTGGCAGAACTTTCCATGTGGGCCCGACAGTTCTGCTGTTAAACATGAAGCCAGATGAAAACTGTTCCTCTCCTGCCCTAAAACTCCATCGTAGCATTAGATATGGTTTTAGTTTTAGTAGCAAAGAAGTGTTTTRCTGGCAACACTACTAAAACTGGAAAGAAACATTAAAGGTTAAACAGGAAGTGGTTACATATATTTACATTTGTCATTRAACTAATTTAGTTTGTAGAGTAAGAAGCTGATCAGGAGTAAAGTGTGCGATGGCAGCAACATTACCTGAGCGTCAGCAGCTTCTTTCTTTCTCCACAGATCAAAGTTTAGCTCTTATCTCAGCCCGCTGCAGCAGACACTAAATAAACCCTCTGCCTGAACGTCATTTTCTTAGCTGCAGTCAGACTGAGCAGCTGATTCCTCTCTCCTGTCCCACCAAGTGTTTGTGAAGTCGTTCCACAACACAAACCGTCTTTCACTTTATAGTCGGCTCCTCCCCTCTGCTGAGCCAAGCAGAACGCTATCTGCCTTTAACGTCTGTGAGTCTCAGTYGCTCCACCCCTCCTGGGTCAAACCGCGAAGGAACTAATCTTTTGTTTTCACAAGGATCGTTCACTTCTCTTCAAGGTTGGGAGATAAAGCACCTCTTTTTTTCTTTACAAATATAACTCTCACAGATGTGATTTTAGAAGCTTTAAAAGCTCTGCTCACCTGAGAGAGAACCAGTTAATCTTCCTTGTTGATCAGGTGAGTGCAGGTATGTATAAATGTGGGTGTTTGCAGGAAATGTAGGCGGTGATAACAGAGCGATAATGAAATCAAAAAGTTCAATTGTTGGTGGTGAAACAATGACTGAGGATGCAAATCTGGAGGTGTTACTTCAACGATTTGGATTGTATTATTTCGGCGTGACAAAAAGATTGCTGGTACCTTGTTTTTCACCTGATAAAAGAGGAAGTTGCATCACAGCTTCAGGGAAAACAAGAACTCTGTAACCTGATCTGATACATTTAGTTAAATTTGCAATCGTCCCCAAACATTATTTCATGTATTTCTTTCTATATTTATTGTACAAATGGTGTGAAATAAATCACTTTTACAAAAAAAATGTTGCTGTAAGAACAGCAGCTGGAAAGCAGAGTAATGTGAGTTCACACAGTTTCTTTTTTTTTTTTAATATGTCACAATCTGGTTGTAGCTCTAAAAGCTGACAAAAGTTCAGAGTTTCACAATATTTTCTGGAATGCAGCAGAAAACTGGTTCTTTTTTCTCATTTCTGCTCTCAGACCTCACTCGTGGCTGCTTTGTCTTTTTGACAATAGAGGTTGTTGTCAGTGCCTGCCTCTCTAATGGTATGGGGGTGCATTAGTAGTGCATTTTAAACATCTGGAAAGGCTCTATCAGTGCAAACAACTACAAAACTGTAAACTTCATGAATTAAACTGCATGACTTCACAGTAGAAGTGTCCAGGCGCTGAATCGACCTGCCTGCAGTCAAATCCTGTCACCAAATGAAAACATTTGGAGCACTGTGAAACCAAACATCCAGTGAAGAGTAAATAACTACAACCCTACACCAGATRAGATGGACACAGGGACCAGTGTATGAATAAGAGGTCGTCACTGTTTTAAGTTTCAGCTCATTGCTTTGCAGGAGAGGATCACCGTCTGCATATGAAAGCYGATCACCGGTGCAGCAGATGGCACTGCAACCCACAACGCTGTGCCCTTGGGTCACATATGGTGTCAACAGCAGCCAAAAACAAACAAATACACAAACCAACAGACAGGAGGACATATGAGTACAGTAGAAAGCTCCACGCTGGGAGAGCTGCTGGTCAGATACAGACCATTAGACTAAACATAAACACGTTTACTGTGTGGACACTCAACAATACTGAATGCAGGATTCATGCAGGTTTCGGTAAGTTAAATTTAAGACTTTTTAAGACCACTAGGAGTGACATTTAAGACCAAACCGACACATTAATAAAAACATTCAAATCGTCCCAGAAAGGTTAACATACCAACCTTTTATTGCTATGAGTTTAGCTATTAAAGAACACTTAATTTTAATAAAAGAACACTAAATTGTTTTAATAAAACAGTCATATCTATGAGACATTCATATGGACTGCTGAGGAACACTTCCATCAGAGTGTAACAATCATTGATATCAGCCGAGACTCATTGAAAACACACTTTCCCAGGTTTAAACCACAAGCAGTGGACATGACTGAACTTCTTTGTTTTTTGGGAGGGTGAACAAGCTGCCGTATGCGGGGGGCTGTAGTGGCAAAGAGGTTGAAAACATGGAAGTAAACTGTGCTTTTTTTTCTTGCAGTTATCACAGGAT